CAAGGCAGCTGAATTGTCTCACTGAAATTTTTTTATTAATTAATTAATTAATTTTTTTATTAATTAATTAATTAATTAATTAATTAATTAATTAAATAATAAATTGGATCCGGATCACCACCAAAATGTAATCAATTCTAAGTTACCCCATTTCTGACCTATCCTGAAAATTTTATTAATTAATTAATTAATTGGATCCGGATCACCACGAAAATCTCATCAATTCTAAGTTAGGCGATTTCTGACCTATCCTGAAAATTTTATGACAGTCCGTCCATAACTTTTTCAATTAGGCTGTACACAAACAAACCCACAAACCAACAAACACACGCCAAACAAACAGTGAAACACACGCCGGTGAAAACATAATATAACCTTCTGCCAACCTATCGGGAACCAGCGGTAAGCCTATGTACGCGTTTTACCCGTGTGAATTCCTGATATTTCTAATCATCGACTATTATACGCTTTATAATACCCCCGAACGTGTCTCTGCTGTAATATAGGTAGTATATACTTTACTATAGAATACGTGATCATATATATCACCAGGAGTAGATAATAGGGATTAATTAGGGATTAATCCCTATTATCTACTCCTGATATCACGTATCACTAGCTAACTGTTCTATATACTATAGAATCGATGTCATCATACTAACGCTAATACTCAAGGTAATGTAAACACTGGATTGTTGAAGGTTGTTGAAGGTTGTGTGTGTTGTTGAGTGTATACATCGATCGTGAATCTGCAGTATAGTAAACCCCCTCTAGTGTATAACAGCGAAACAATGCTTCTATTTTGAAGACAATTTTCGTTCGAAAGCGACTTTGTTAGCGAGTCATTACTTCGATAGCTTCGCCACTTGCTTTAAATTTCAAGTTGCTTCAAGGAAAACTGTCGTTGAAATATTTCTAAGAGGATACAATGCTCTCAACGATTGTTTCGTGCGAACATTGTTAGAAAATAACTACCGTGCATGATCCGGGAGCGGACCAAGTTTAATTAAAGTTAATGGAGTGTGTTTGTTCGCATGGGAATGCGCATTCTTTGTTGTCTTGTCACTAAATAACATTTGCATATAAATGCAATATTTAATATATTTGGAGAGTAGGGGTGGGGGGGGGTCACCGTGGCTTGACTGTCCAGTCTCCTGTAGGCCTGCACCGTAGGGATCGCTCACGCTGTTGAGATATCTCACTCTGTCATATCGCTGATATGTTGAGATAGCTCACTCTGTCGTCTCGCTGATATGTTGAGATAGCTCACTCTGTCGTCTCGCTGATATGTTGAGATAGCTCACTCTGTCATCTCACTGATATGTTGAGATAGCTCACTCTGTCGTCTTGCTGATATGTTGAGATAGCTCACTCTGTCGTCTCGCTGATATGTTGAGATAGCTCACTCTGTCGTCTCGCTGATATGTTGAGATAGCTCACTCTGTCATCTCACTGATATGTTGAGATAGCTCACTCTGTCGTCTCGCTGATATGTTGGGATAGCTCACTCTGTCATCTCACTGATATGTTGAGATAGCTCACTCTGTCATCTCACTGATATGTTGAGATAGCTCACTCTGTCGTCTCACTGATATGTTGAGATAGCTCACTCTGTCGGCTCGCTGATATGTCTGATATGTTTGGATAGATCAGTTTGTCGTCGTTGATATGTTTGGATAGCTCACTCTGTCGTCTTGCTGATATGTTTGGATTGATCAGTTTGTCGACAGGACTTCACACACAGAGCTAGTTGTTTTTTCTACTCTGCCACGCGTCGCCCGATTCTTGACGGTACCTTTTGGCGATGGCCGCTACTACTGCGTACCACGCCGCACGCTTCCCCGCGACCTTTCTCTTCTGAAATACCGACAGGGGAGTGTTGTGTGGACATCTGTATCGACGCTTTTCTGGATGTCCTTTCTCTCCTGAAATACCGACAGGGGGGGGGGTCTTAGTTGGACATCTGTATTGATGCTTAGGATTATTGGATTTTTGGGGATGGGTTAATAAAGCAAGCTTCGCGGTTATCAGAGTGGACGTTGCATCGTATCGCGATAGTAAAAACGAATAGCGTGGCCAATAGGGTATGTTTAGTGGGTCTATATAGGAACGGATTACGTTTTTTTTAAATAATTTTTTGAATCGGATGTAAAATGATTCCTTGCTGTGCCTCATATCCGATGAACATCGTTAGGTTCTCTGGTGATGTTCCATCTAAGATATGAATGGGATGTTAGTGTACATCCGGGCAAAAACACTCTTCAAACTGTCCTCGCAGTACGAGAGACTCCTCGGTCATTGGTCCGAGATCAATTGAAATGGGTCTGCCCCAAATTGCGAATCTAATTTATGTAGATGACCACGGCGTGCAGGCTACACACTTTCCATACCCTTTCTTCGTCCACGAATTCCTCCTTCGTTGTCAACGTGTGTGGTGGCGTTTCATCGTAGAGTTGTAGTATGGCGTGAAAGCCTGTCTCTCTCCGACGACCAAGATCGTATTTGACTTTGGAAGTCGCTCGCGCAGAACATGTTTGAACAGAAACTCACTTGAGAAGAAACCTAGCCGAGTGTTTAGCACCCCGCAGGCGATATTTGTCGTGGATCGCAACGCAGAATTGATTCAGATACGTCTCTCTCTCTCGCTCTCTCTCTCTCTCTTTCTCTCTCTCTCTCTCTCTCTCTCTCTCTCTCTCTCTTTCGCGCGCGCTCTTTCCCACTCGCTCTCTCTCTTTCGCGCGCGCTCTTTCTCACTCGCTCTCTCTCTCTTTCGCCGGTCCGTGCTCTTCTCGCTCGCTCTCTCTCTCCTCTCTCTCCTCGCGCGGCGGTCGTCTCGTCTCTCCTCTCGTCCTCGCTCCTCTCTCTCTCTCTCTCTTTCTCTCTCTCCCTCTCTCCTCGTCGCACGCGCGCGCTGGCCGTCTCTCTGCTCTCATCTCTCTCCGCGCTTCTCTCCTCTCCTCATCTCCTCTGCCCTCTCCTCAGCTCTCTGTCTCTTCTCTCCCGCCTCTCTTTTTTCCTCCTCTCTGTCTCTTGTCTCTCTCTCACTCCCATCCTTCAACTCTCCCTCTTCCTCTTCTCTATCTCTCTCCTGCCCATGCTCTCCTGCTCTTCCTCTTCATCCCTCTGATCTCCCCGTCTCTGCCATCTCGCTCTCTCTGCTCGCTCGTCTCTCTCTGCTCTTCCTCCTCTCATCGTCCTCTCCTGGTCCTTCCTCCTTCTCTCTCCTCTCTTCCTCTGCGTTTGACAACAGTAACTACGAAAATGCGTTATACATCAATATTTTTTACAAGTATTCGGAAGTAGAACGAGCACTCGAGATAGTCCGGCATAGCTAAGAGATCATACGCTTTGATACGCTGAAGAAAACTCGCATTTTTCGCGGGTGCCTTCGTCACACTGCTCTGTGCCATCGCCGAACCACACTTCCGCTAAAGTCAAACGTGATGGATGTTTGGTCTTCGGGTGGGGGGGGGGGCGCGATTTTTTCGCGCGTTCTGCAACATCCGCAAGCTGAATACCATACATCACGTCGACCGAAGCAAACACATTCATAAATCTCGATCGACTACATTTCACGAAGCTCTATATATAGATCTATAGCTAGTCATCTATATTTTCTCCGCTGGTGATGTTATTACGCGATAGGTTACGGCCCAGGTGATATTTGACAAATATTTGATGTATATACCGTCAGATATGTGTTATTTTGTCACATGCCCGCTCTTATATAGCTTAACTGGACTTGTTTACGTAGTACTTATACAGCACTGCACTACATTTATAAGCCGGGACGATTTCCTGCGCTTTCGTGGGATTTTGTCAATATAACTACTTGTATTCCGGTTGTGCGACATCAATATCGCTTATTACCTATCGTTTATATATGGTTATTATTCAGGATGCTAATAATATAGATCTGTCAATTATTACTGACGTGTCCTCACCTTTTACCTCGCACGGCGAGTGCAGGGAGTAATGGCGATCGTCTTGGTGTGTGTGTGTGTCTTTGTGTGTGTGTGCGTGTGCGCCGGCGCTGTGCGTGTCGCGTGTTGCGTGTGCGTGTGCGTGTGCGTGTGCGTGTGCGTGTGCGTGTGCAGTGCTGTGCGTGTGCGATCGCGAATCAGCCAGCAGTCTCGACATAAGGCGTCCAGTCGCAGCAGCAGCCAGCAGCGAGCCAGCTGTTAACACAATTATAATCATGTTACACTGCGGCGGAGGTATATGCACTCTTTTGATGTGCCCTCTGTCTAAGTTATATGATGGCGTGTAGCGTGACACAACGGGCGTGGAAATGCACCGCTGTCTTGTCTAGCTATTAATTTGTTTTCGATAGGCATTGACGTAGTCTTTTTAAGTGGCGTTCGGTTTTTGCCTCGTAGCTCGTCCTGGTCCTTCTCTCTCTGTCTCTCTCGGCCCACACACACCACAACACACACACACACCACAAGCACACACACACACACACAACACAACACACACACACACACACACCACACACCAACACACGCACCACACCATCACGACCACACACGCCACACAGTCGGCCACACACCCACGACACGCAGACCAAAACACGCGGCACGTACGCACTCTCGTCTCATTTTAGCAATCCATGCACGCTTATTTTGCAAAGATTTGACGATAGATATCTTGCGCGTCGTTCAATGCCTAGATGCCGATGTATGACTAGTGCCATCAGCTAACAGTTTGGATCTACGCGCGAGTCTAACGACCCACGATTGCTGATCGCCCCGCCGCCATTTAACACTTCATAACATATATATCTTATATTGTGTCTTACACCGGTCCTAATTTCCTAAAGCTTCTCGATCATTAGTCCTTCACTCCCATATTTCTTTTTTGACCACATATGCAAACTTGTTACCCCCCAAAACACTCCGTGAGCCCCCCTCCTCTCGGAAGATACTTGCCTCCCCCCTCGTTTCTGTGCCGGGTGTCCGAACGCGCGGCGGGGCGGCTCTCTCTCCATCTCTCCCCCCCTCCATCATCACTCGTCGTCCCGCTCTCGTGGCAGAAGAAACAAAAACACAATTTCCTATGCGGGCCGTGGCGCGCGTGTGTTGCTGGTGTAAGCCAGCACGCTTTTCCGGTCATCTATCATCGCTCTCTCTCTCTCATCGGCTCTCTCTCTCCGCTCCTCCTCTCTCCTCCTTTCTGCTCCGCCCTTGTCCTCCATCTCCGGGTCAATCGTCCTCATACCCCCTCTCTCTCCCTCTCTCAGCTCTGTCTCTTGTCTACTACTCCCTTCCCTCTCTGCATCCTCCTCGGCGGGTTGGGTGATTCAGCTGAGCAGAGGCCCTGGAACGGCTTCTGATCCGG